GCACCATAAATCCTGTATAATAATAATAATAATAATATCTACTCTTTATCATATTAACCACCTCCCGCCCACCATATAGTAATATGACGGACGCAAGGTGGTTCTCTCGTTCTGGGAGGACGTCATATGACGTCCTCCCATTCTCACCGCGCATGCGTGGCTCAGGGAGCACGCAGCGATCAGCAGTGTGCTGTGTCTATCAGACACAGCGGATCACCTATCACGGAGAGAGCTGAAGGTGTCGGCTCGGTCATGTGATCAGCTGTGTCCAATCACAGCTGATCGCATGTAAAAACAGGGAAATGCCGATTATCTATTGGCTGATAGAGGAGAGGAGAGCCGGTAATCGGCTTTCCGCGGAGGGGGACATGTACACAGATCATCAGAGCACTGATGATCAGTGTGCCCTGATGATCTGTGTAGCCCCAGCAGTGCCACCTGTCAGTGTCTTCAGAGCCTTGTGTCAGTGCTCATCAGTGCCTCGTGCCAGTGCCCATCAGTGCCACATCAATGCCACATATCAGTGCCTACCAGTGCACATCAATGCCACATATCAGTGCCCATCTGAGCTGCCTTTAAGTGTCACCCATCAGTTCCAATCAGTGCCACCTAGCAATGCCAATCAGTGTCACTTATCCGTGCTGCCAATCAGTGCCAGTCAGTGCCGCCTATCAGTGCTGCCTATCAGTGCCCATCAGTGATGCCTGTCAATGCCCATCAGTGCTACCTACCAGTGCCTCTTCATCAGTGCCTATCAGTGCCACCTATCAGTGTCCATCACTGTAGCCTCATTAGCGAACATCAGTGAAGGAGAAAAATAACTTAATTACAAAATGTTATAACAAAAACTAAGAATAAACATTTTTTTTCAAAATTTTCAGTGGTTTTTGGTTTGTTTAAGAAAAATAAAAACCCCAGAGGTGATTAAATACACCAAAATAAAGCTCTATCTGTCACAAAAAAATGATAAAAATTTCATATGGGTACAGTGTTGCATGACCGCGCAATTGTCATTCAAAGTGCGACAGTGCTGAAAGCTGGAAATTGTCCTGGGCAGGAAGGGGGTAGAAGTGCCCTGTAGGCAGGAAGGGGGTAGAAGTGTCCTGTAGGCAGGAAGGGGGTAGAAGTGTCCTGTAGGCAGGGAGGGGGGTAGAAGTGTCCTGTAGGCAGGAAGGGGGTAGAAGTGCCCTGTAGGCAGGAAGGGGGTAGAAGTGCCCTGTAGGCAGGAAGGGGGTAGAAGTGTCCTGTAGGCAAGGGGTTAAATAATTCCCTCTGCAATCTATAATTACTTGTTCTAGTAATAACGTAAAAGAGAAGTGCGAGCTTTTAGAAAAAACAAACTCACATACTCACCTAGGTGGATGCAGCATCAGTCCGAGGCTGGGCCAGCTGCGGGTCAGGCATCTGGGTAAGTCCAGACAATAAATGCGGGATCCCTCCAGAGTCTGGACCGGCTGAGTGACGTTAGCTGATAGAGGACTTTAGCCTGCTGTCCGGTTAATATTAGTCGCAGGAGTGCAGAATAAAGTGCAAGTGGTTAATCATCAGACAAATATTACAAGCCCTGCTTATTACATTAACTAGGGGAGGCGGAGACGTGGGGGTGCTGTGGTTGCACAAAAATCCCAGAATCTTTAGGAAGAGTTCTGTCCTCCTCACTGCCGCCGATTGTTTAGACAAGGTGGAGGTGGAGACAAGTGGGGTGCAGCAGCAGCAGCAAGGGAGTTGCGGGGGGACACATGAAATGGCCACATTTGGCCTGGGGGCCTTGTGTTTGACACATGTGATATAAGCAATAAAGTCTCTCAAAACATATATACAGCATGAAGAGTTCCAAGAATCAAAGTTTTTAAAAAATGTTCTTGTTAATTGGGATCTACAGTATGTGCACTGTTAGTGAAGTACTCCCACAATCCCAGTGCTGTCACAAATGCAGTGTGCACCACCACCAGTGCTGAATAGATGGACTCTCACCTTATGACATTACCCTACAAATTATAATATAATAGACGTTTGTGAGCCTTTCCTCTCTGGGCAGCTCTCGCACCAACCTCAGGTTCCCTCCTTCTCTATCATCCTGGGCTCTCAATATCCTGTACCGCTGTAGCACCGCGCAGTCACTCTAAATGTAGACTCAGAACCACAGAAAGGCAACCATATTGTAGTACATTAAAATCTTCACAATTTGCACAATATTTCTCCATCATTGGGTATATGATATCATTATAGCAGCACAACACTTGTATTTTATTTAATGTTTGGGTAGATGCCAACAATGGCTGGAGATTGAGGTCCACATACTCCACCAACCTCTCCTTTATGGAGTTTCTGGAGTTTATTATCAGCCTCCTTGGTGGATATTCACAGTTTTAATGTAATTTTTCATAAGTAATAAATCACCACTGGGGATAGCAGTAGCCTGTGCCTGTGGGGCTGGGCCACTAGCTGGAAGAGGACAGCTGCTTGCTTCTGCAACCTGCCCCTTCCCCTACACAAAATATTCTGGACCTCAGGATTTTTTTTTTTTTGTGTTTTTGGGTGAATTTCCCCTTTAAAATCCATGATAGATCCAAGTTCAGATGATGTCATTAACTGGCAATAAAAACAGACTTTTTTTTAAATGTCAGTTGCGTTCATGGTACTGATGTGACCCTTTACAGGCATGTTAAAGGCATCCCCCAGGAATGTTATTTCAAGGAATTTTGCCATTTTAATGTTTTGCTTGAAGCATTATTAAAATCTCTGCATCCCCCCCCATAGGGTATTTAAAACGTTTTTTTTTTTCCTGCTTTAATAAATGTTCTCCAGGGCAATGCCATGCCTCCTCGTGCTATTTGTTTGACAATCTCTTGTCTACTTACCTAGAAAATGGCCATTTGCTGATTTCTACAATTTGCACCCAGAATGGAACCCGGGTGTGTTGTGTTCATCAAAAATAGCAGCATTGCATTGCCTGGGAACCTCCATTGTCCGGCTCTGTAATGTATCCTCAGGTACAATGACATTTATACACAGAAGAGTGACACTGACCTGATCCCAGGAGGAGCAAAAAAGCAGATCACATGCAGAATTTTCAGCCCCCTCCTCATTGTTCCATCCATGCTGGATCCAGTCCAAGATAACTGTGATGTCTGAGATGTACAAAGTAACGAGTCTTGCCTGAACCTTTTTCACTTTCATATTTTAGACAGAACAGACTCTGATCACATGATGCTGGCATAACCTCTTACACTGTAAATGTACCAAAAGGAAGAACACAGAGACAACGGTATAGAAGAGAACATACCAATTGTACAAAAAAGAAAAAAAACAAACAAACAATTTGCTACATACTTTTTGCAACAGGGTCATTATTTTACTGCTTGCTGCAGCTTTAAGATGTTGCCTCTCCTTCTGTTTCTCAGTGAAAGCTCTTTAACCCCTTGCCTATCGGACACTTCTACCCCCTTCCTGCCCACCGGGCACTTCTACCCCCTTCCTGTCTACCGGGCACTTCTACCCCCTTCCTGCCTACTGGACACTTCTACCCCCTCCCCTGCCTACAGGGCACTTCTACCCCCTTCCTGTCTACCGGGCACTTCTACCCTCTTCCTGCCTACCGGACACTTCTACCCCCTTCCTGCCTACCGGGCACTTCTACCCCCTTCCTGCCTACAGGGCACTTCTACCCCCTTCCTGCCTACAGGGCACTTCTACCCCCTTCCTGCCTACTGGACACTTCTACCCCCTTCCTGCCTACCAGACACTTATACCCCTTCCTGCCTACAGGACACTTCTACCCCCTTCCTGCCCACAGGGCACTTCTACCCCCTTCCTGTCTACCGGGCACTTCTACCCCCTCCTGTCTACCGGGCACTTCTACCCCCTTCCTGCCTACTGGACACTTCTACCCCCTTCCTGCCTACCGGACACTTATACCCCCTTCCTGCCCACCGGGCACTTCTACCCCCTTCCTGCCCAGGCCAATTCCCAGCTTTCAGCGCTCTCACACTTTGAATGACAATTGCAACACTGTACCTATATGAAATTTTTATCATGTTTTGTGACAGATAGAGCTTTAGTTTGGTGGTATTTATCACCTCGGGGTTTTTTATTTTTTCTTAAACTAAAAAACCACAGAAAATTTTGAAAAAAAATAATTTTTTTCTTAGTTTTTGTTATAAAATTTTGTAAATAAGTGATTTTCTCCTTCACTGATGTGCGCTAATGAGGCTGCAGTGATGGGCACTGATAGGTGGCATGGATGGGCATTGACAGGCATCACTGATGGGAACTCCTGTTTGCCAGATTATTGTGCTCTCTCCAGCCAATATCGTGCTCCTTGTGTACCTGTTGCTGTCCTTACCTTCCCTACCACTTGTTATTGACCCTTGGTTTGTTCATTGGCTACACTTTCATCTGATCCCATCCAGCTACTAATTATTGGCTTGTATACTGACAATGCTGCTGCTTGATCCCTACCTGCTATATCTGCTGCTGGACCCCCATGCTGGAAAGGCCCCAAGCGAAGTGCAGTTGGTATCAGTCCACCGGGGACAGGAGCCAGCTCTACAGAGGAAGCATCAGCTTCTGTGGCTCCTTTTGTGGCTGCCTGCTTCCTCTGCTGCCGGCGCGATGCACTCTGATTCTCTAGGATGGTGGGTCAGCAAGCCCAGATCGTGGTCAACGGGTTGCCAACCCCCCCTGGAGTGCACTTCCCTGGTTGGATCTCAAGGGCCATGGGCCACAGGTTGAGCACCCTTGCGCTAGGGGGATCTGCTTGTGCATTTCTAGCTGACTACATGTGAACCTCTCTACTGCTACAGCCACTGGTCTCTGAGTCTGACCCCAGACCGTGGCACAGTTGGTCCATGCATCCAGACTCCTTCATGTCTATTTGGATGCAGCGGCTGCATAAACACAGCAGCTGTTCCCAATTTGACATCCATGTGGGTGCTGGTGCGTGTCCCCAAATTCACACCGTCTGCATTTGGGGACACTCATCCGCAGTCGCTCGGATGTTAACCCCTTCATGCCTAAGAGTAAAACAGACCTTAATGCCTAAGCACAATTTTGCAACGTTGACATATGTTAGTAAAACCGTACAGATCATCACAACTACTTCGTACATCCGGGTGGATTATACCGCTTTTTTTCAGGACAAATTGGGCTTTCATTTGGTGGTAAATAGTAATGAATATCTCCTGATATTTTTTTTATTATCAAAAAAACTGTCCCAAAATAGTAAAAAGAAAAAAATAATTTTTTTAAATTTAACTGTGTGTTTCTTGTTACTACTATCACCTACCACCAAAGAACAACCCAAAATAAATTTTTCAGCTCTTGATGATCGCAGCGATACCATATATGTGTATGTTATTTGTTGTTTGTACCCGGAGTACAGCCCAGAAACAATAGTGCGCATTTTGTTTTTTTGGGTTTTTTTTTTTACCTTAAACACACTGACAATGATACCAATTTAAAAAAAAAAATCCTGACCTTTGACCCTGACCTTGACCCAAACAGTTATCCTGGCACTGAACTAGATCAAACCTTGATCTAGGTATTTTTTCTTTATTTTTTCTTTTATTTATTTAAATATTTATTTATCTTTTTTTTTGCCCAGTCTATGGACATTCAAATATTTACATAATGTATCTCTCTCCGCTGTTCATAGAAAGAGAAAAAAAACACAAGGGGGCCGGGCTGTTCTTCTCGCTGAGCCACCTGGAACGCTGGACAGGTCCTTTGACAAGTCTTTGGATGATCCTGCCTTGGCCCCGTTTGTCTTGAACCTTGAACTCCTTGCTCCTCCAGGAACTTCCTATAAAAGCCATGTCCATACACTTCCTCCTTGCCAGATTATTGTGCCCTTCCAGCCAATATCCCGCTTACTGGTCCTGCTGCCGTCTACACCTCCACTACCGACCTTTGGCTTGTTCCTGACCACGATTTCGTCTCATCCTAACCTACGATTGGTGACCGACCCTTGGCTTGTGATTGACTCTGCTTCTGTCTTATCCCTGAACTGTTTGATCCACTGTTTGGTTTCCAGCTTGTCCATTCCCTGGTGGGGGGATCCTGAGATCTGCGACCTGGCATTCACATGCAGCCAAATCCATCTCCACCATTAGGAGCTCTGGGAAATACTGGTGAATACTTAGACCCCGCACCTCAGGTGAGCCTGCGTCATTCCCAGGGTGGCCCGCTGGTGTACCTATCCTGCTGGTTTCAGGTAAGCTTTACAACTGCTGTAGCAACTGGTCTCTGAACCTGACCGCATATCGTGACAAAATTCTTTACAAATCATACAATGAGAGACAGAATTAAAAAAAAAATTCAGGAAATCACAGAGTGGGAATACACCTACAATGTGAATGTCAGACCCCTCCATGATTTCTAAGTGGGAGAACTTGCAAAATCGCAGGGGGTCCAAATACTTCTGTTCCTGTTTGTGTGTATGTGTGTGTGTGTGTGTGTATATATATATATATATATATATATATATATATATATATATATATATACACTGTATGTTGAAATGCGTTTTTTATATATTACAAAATATATGAAAAATATTTTTTTAAAAATACATTCTTAAATATACTATATGTTGTTAAAAATGCATCTAATCTACATTTTTGGAATGCATTTACAAACACAGGTGTACCTCAATTTACGAATTTAATGTGTTCTCCGGGACATTTTGTATTGAGAAAAATTCGTACACTGAAACAGTTTCTCATAGGAATGCATTGAAAACCAAATAATCCGTTCCAAAGGGCAGAAAAAAGTTTTTATAAAGTCACTGTCACTATAGGTCAGTTCCGGTTTTTAAATGTAATTACCGGCTTTTTTTTTTTCTTTACTATAGCTCAGAGAATCTGCTGTTTCTTTCCACCCAGCTAAAAGAAACAAAGGTTCCTTTTTAGTTTTTTCCCTTGAGTTAAAAGAAACAATGTTTCCTTTTTAGTTTGTTTCCCGAGAAAAAAGAAAGTTTCCTTTTAGCTCCGGGGAAAGTGACAGCTAATCTTGTGAGCTATAGTGAAGGAAAAAAAAAAAGTTGGCAATTGCATTTAAAAATTGGCACCGACATACACTTCATATTGCGAAAAGAATTTGTAAACCAAGGCATTAATTTCAATGGATTTTCATTTGTAAACCGAAAATTACGTTAACAGAGGCGTTCGTAAACCGAGGTACACCTGAGTAATACCTCAGTTTACGAATTTAATTCATTCTGCAGGACTTTTCGTATAGCTAACAATTTGTAAAAAAAAAACACTGTTTCCCATAGGAATGCACTGAAAACCAATTCAGTTTTTGTTATAAAATTTTGTAAATAAGTGATTTTTCTCCTTCACTGATGTGCACTAATGAGGCTGCACTGATGGGCACTGATGAGGAGGTACTAGTAGGTGCCACTGATGGGCATTGACAGGCATCGCTGATGGGCACTGACTGGCAGCACTGATAGCTGGCACTGACTGGCATTGATAGGTGGCACTGACTGGCAGCTCAGATGGGCACTGATATGTGGCATTGATGTGCACTAATATGTGGCATTGATGAGGCACTGATGGGCACTGGCAGGTGGCATTGATGAGCACTGACAGGAGGCACTTCTCGGGCCACACTGATCATCAGTGCCCTGATGATCAGTAAACACAAATGCTCCTGCGCTTGGGGATGGACTCGATGCTACAACCACATTAAGAATGTCCTGGAACACGCACACCTTGCTGCCCTGAAATAGACCGGGGGAATCCAAATATACTGAATGAGGAAAGAACAAAGAGGGCGCTCAGGCCTAGTGCATTACCATAAAAAATGTTTCAGAAATAAAGTAGGTGTTTTACTCACAAACGACAAAGTCAAGGCATGTCATAAAAACAGGTTTTGACCCAGCTGTTCTTTTATGACGTACCTTGACTTTATTGTCATTTTGTGAGTACAACACCTACTTTATTTCTTATGATGATCAGTGCACATGTTCCCTCCGAACAATGCCGAAAACCGGCTCTCCTCTCCTCTGTCAGCGTGACAGTTTGCGAGGAGAGGAATGCCGATAAACGTCATTTCCTTATTTACATGTGATCAGCTGTGATTGGACACAGCTGATTACATGACCGAGCCGACATGTGCGTTAGAGTGGGAGGACATCATATGACGTCCTCCAGAACGAGAGAGCCGCCTTGTGCCCATCATTACCTTATATGGTGGGTGGGAGGCGGTTAAAGTTCACGATGTCATCCGACTGCAAAACAATTCCATTTTTGGATATTCAAATTTACAAAAACAAAGATGGGACCCTGAGCAGTGATCTCTACCGCAAATCAACCGCAGGCAATACCATTCCACACGCTAGTAGTTTTCAGCCTACTTCTTTAGTTAATTCCATTCCCTATGGTCAATACCTGCGCATCAGACGCAATTGCTCTGATGATATTTCTTATAAAAAAGAAGCAGATAAATTGAGAACGCCTCCTTACTGAGGATATTCCTCTACATGTTTGAAAAAACCAGAGTTAGACTTACCGGTAACTCCTTTTCTACGAGTCTTCCAGGACAGCCACTTGTGACGTAGAGCTCCTCCCTCCGGATCAGGAAACACACCATCCCCCCCCATGCCTTTTAAAAGGTGGACCTCCAGGCCTCCAATCCAGTTTTTAATCGAGAACTAGCGGAAGACACTGAAAGACACAATTATACATAAATATATCTCTATTCACTCAACCTTAAATCTTTCGGTTGCACATTAGAAGGGTGGGAACTACCGGCTGTCCTGGAAGACTCGTAGAAAAGGAGTTACCGGTAAGTCTAACTCTGGTTTTCTCCTTACGTCTTCCAGGACAGCCACTTGAGACGATAACCAAGAACTTACCCCCTTAGGGTGGGCCCACCGCCTGGAGGACCTTGCGTCCGAACGCCTTCTCCTTATCAGACAGGATATCCAAGCGGTAATGCTTCACGAAGGTAGAGAATTTCGACCAAGTGGCTGCCTTACAGATTTCCTCCGGCAAAGCCCGGGCTCTCTCTGCCCAGGACGCCGCTAACGACCTAGTCGAGTGAGCCTCCACAGAAGGAGGTGGAATCCCTAAAACCTTGTAGGACTCCCCTATTGTCCGCCTAATCCACCTGCCTATCATGGCCTTAGATGCTGCAAGACCCCTTTTCTGCCCCGAAAACAAAACAAAAAGGGAATCTGACTTCCTAAATTCCCGGGACCTGTCTTCACATCTAGCAACCCCAGCCTTTCTTCCTCTTTACCTTCAGTGGAAGAACAAAAGGTCGGTAGAACTATATCCTGCAACCTGTGAAAAGAGGAGGATACTTTAGGAAGAAAACCTGGATCTGTCCTAAGCACTACCTTGTCCTTAAGAATGGTCAGGTAAGGCTCCCTAAAAGAAAGCTCACTCACCCTACGGGCCGTCGTGATGGCTACCAAAAAAAAATCTTTAAGGATAAGAACCTGATTGTTGACTCTTCCAAAGGCTCAAAAGGTTCCCGGACCAAGGCCTTTAGAACAAAGGACAGATCCCAAACCGGACAAGATCCCACCTTAGTAGGCGTAGACCTGGAAAGAGATCTGAAGAAATCTACTACAAAAGGATTTTTGTTGCAATGAGACCTGCAAAAAAATACTCAAAGTTGATGCTTGTACCTTCAAGGTGCTGATCGAGAGGCCCCGATCCGCACCCTCCTGAAAAAAATCCAAAATTGTCGGAATGTCCAGAGGCCCTGGTCAGCCTGAACATCACGAGGTAAACCTTCTCCAGACCTTAGAATAAATGGCTCTGGTTACTGGTTTATGACAGTTTACTAAAGTCCTTACCACCGAATCTGAGATCGCCCCCCTGGCCTGAGGATCTGTTCCTCAAAAACCAAGCCGTCAACCGCAAGGTCTTGACCCGCGGATGCAGAAGTGGACCCTGCGCAATCATATCCCCCCTTTCCGGTAAAGGAAACGGGCAAGCTGAAGCAAGCCTGTTCAGCAGGGCGAACCAGGACCTCTTTGGCCAGAAGGGTGTGATTTAAGATCAAATCCGACCTTTCCTTCAAAAATTTTTGCAGGACTGCAGGGATCAGTCTGATCGGAGGGAACGCATAAGCCAAATTGAAGTCCCAAGAGGTCGACAGAGCGTCTATCCCCAAACTCTGCTCTCGCGGGTTCAGGGAAAAAAGCTAATCTACCTTCCTGTTTTCCCGTGACGCAAACAGATCCACCTCCGGATTCCCCCCCACCTGAACACTCTCCCGAAAAACCTCCTGGTTGAGTGACCAATCGTCGTGACTGAGAGATCGACGACTCAGGAAATCCGCCAGCGAATTCTGCGAGCCTTTCAAATGCACCGCAGATTCCGTTCTGCCCAGGTCTGTATACTGCCCGTGATCCTCTGCAGCGAAGGACTCCGTGAACCCCCCTGCTTGTTTATATAGGCTACTGTCGCTACGTTGTCTGATCAAATCTGCAAATGATGGTTTCCTAACCCTGCTTGAAAGGCCTCTAAAGCCTTCCAAACCGCCAACAGCTCCCTTTGATTTGAGGGCCTTAATGAGTCCTCCCGGGACCGCCTCCCTTGAGCCGTCCTCCCTTGCAGGTGGGCTCCCCAACCAAAACTGCTGGCGTCTGTGGTCAAAATGAGCGGAGCTAACTGTCTCCAATCCAGACCCCCAGTCAAGTTTCTTTCTCTTCGCCACCACCAAAGAGATCTCTTGACCCTGGACGGAAGTTGGATCATCCGATCCAATGTCAAGTTGTCCCGTCCCATACTTTCAATAAGAGAGCCTGTAGTGGTCTTTGGAGGAACCTTGCCCATGCAACTTCTGGGAAAACAAGATGTCATGAGACCAACTGCCCCTGCGACTTCCCTTACTGAGACCGGCAGGCTGCACTGCAACCCTGCCAATGCCCGATCTATCTTTTATGACCTTGTCCCGAGGTAGAAAAATCTTTCCCTCTAGAGATGAGATCTCGTACCCTAGGTAAACCACCTTCTGAGCGGGTATAAGAGCCGACTTTTCCCTGTAGATGAGCCAACCCAGACCCTGAAGGAGATTCTGAGCTACCCCTAGGTCCTCGACCAACTGCTGACGAGACCCGGCCACCAAGAGTAAGTCATCCAAATATGGAATTATCATGATTGACCTCAGTCTCGGGAACCAGAGCCTCTGCCAATACTTTTGTAAAGATCCTTGGTGCCGACGACAGTCCGAAAGGGCAAGGCCTGGAACTGCCAATGGAAGGTCCGCGACCCTATCCTTATGGCCAAACTCGGGTATTTCTGGCTTGCCTGATGGATGGGAATGTGAAAGTTAGCATCCCTCAAATCTAACATGGCCATGAAGCACCCCTGGAAAAGGATATTCCTTACAGAATAGATTGACTCCATTCTGAAATGCTTGTACTTTAGGGCCTGATTCAAGGGGCGTAGATTCAAGATCAACCTGAACTTGCCCGAGGGCTTTCCCACAACAAAAGACGTGGGAATAACACCCCAAACCCAGCTCGCTCTGTGGCACCTGAACCAGAACTCTCTGGTCCACCAGTTCTCCAATAAGACCCCAGAGCGCCTGAGACTTCCTGTGATCCTTGGGAAGGTTGGTAACCAAAAACCTGCTTGGAGGGCAGGCCTCGAACTCCAGTCTGTTGCCTCCCTGAATCAGGCTCCAAATGTAGGGGTTCCGGGAGATAGGACCCCAGCCTTCCCCCTACTGGGCCGCCCAAGTCATTGTGACTTGGAGGATCCTTGAGGAGGATTGAATAATATTCCTCCTCGTCCCCTGTTTTTATGCCCTGTCCAATGCTTCTTTGGCTGTACCTCTCTACCCTGCAGCATCTGGGTTTTAGGGCGAAAAGTCTTCCTAGGAAAG